ATTTAAAAGGGTAACAAAGAAAATTACTTAGCCCAAAGGAGAGGAGGGGCTAAGATCAGATAACACAAGGTGTGGGGAAACAGCCACATAGGCAGGAGGGCCAAATACTTCCTGATTGTTTATTGACAAGCTTGGCAGAACAAAATGAGCCTATTGTAGCCCACCGGGGGCAGGGCTGGATTGAGAAGAAGGGCCAGTGCTGGAGTAGATGGGCGGAAAGAGTGTAAGCTCTCAGTGCCCTAGGCAAGAGAGGAGGGAGAAGCGGCGGGGGGGGGGGGGGGGGGGAAGGGCATATAAAATGAGATGCCAACATGTGCTCAGGTGAACAGAAAAATGGGAAGGAAACCATTTTTTCTGTTCCCTTCATTGCAATAAAGTTTTAAAGAGAACTCTCTGCATGCCTGGAATATTTTTCTCTTCTGACGGAAAGGAAAGAGTGATCATAACAGTTGTGAAGCTAGCGTGTGTTTCTGTGATCTTTCAGTTGGCCAATGAAGGGTTTTATCTCATATGGCTATTAAAATAATAACGTAATTTAGTCAGTGAACCTAATTTCTGTGATGGCTAGGATTCTATGTTTCTCCTTGGTTCACATAACTATCTGGCCAGGGCGACTTCTTTTCTTTTATAACTTTTCTAACTCCTTTTATATCGTTTATATTTTTTATTTATTTTATATTAATTTTAATTTTATATTGTTATTTTTGTATTGTATTGTATTTTATTGTGTTGTCAGCTGCCCTGAGGCTTCGGCAAGGGGCGGCATAGAAATGTTCTAATAATAATAATAATAATAATAATAATAATAATAATAGGGAATCATTTCTGTCAACCCTCCTACCAATTTTCAAACACCCACCCCCATATCCCATGCTATCCCCACTGTTTTTGCTGTCTAAGGCAAAAAGATGCTTTCTGTCCCCACATTTCATATATAAAATTGAACAGGACTGGAAGTTAAATCTTACTTCAGTATTGACGAAGGGGCAGTTTCATCCACTCCACTTGAGCTCAGCAGGCCAACTTAGGGGTACAGAGCAAATGATATGGAAGGATACCTTTGTCCTCCAATTCTTTGCCATTATTGTCTTCCCTCCAGGACCAGCTACTTGAACTGCCACCTTGTTTTATTGAATGGCAGAGCCATTCCTCCTTGCACCCAACATCAGGATCAGCATTTCTAAGGTCTGTAGACTCTACAGTTGGACACAAAGGGGAATTGGGAAAGCTCTGATCCATGAATGCAAAGTCACAGAAGGAAAGTTAGGATCCAAATTAATAAAACTAAAGCTAACATTAAATAATTTTTGAGAGCCTAACATTAACAGAGCAGGAGCTAAAACCTGTTGGAGCAAAAGAATCTTCATAGCCTGTTTAAAGGGGAGAAGGCATGGAGTTTATTGGATCTCAGTGGAAACATAATGACTTCACTGCAGCTCCATCACTTAATGTTCCTGGTCATACTGTCCATCAATTAAGCACCCAGCAAAGATAACTCAGATTCTCTCCTTCTCTTATTTGAATTTATTAATGTGTTTAAATAAACACATTATTTGAATGTGTTTGAAAACCTCCTCCTACCATCATACTCTCTGATGTTTTACACATTTACCCTTTGTCCTCTGAACAATCCTGTGAGATAGGCTAGACTGAAGTTTGACCCAATGTCAGTCAGTGAACTCCATGGCTAAGTGGGGACTGAGACCAGGCATCCCCACTCCTAGCCTGACACTCAAGCTGGACTTTCCTATACTGTGCCCTTCACATGGATTGGACTACCACTCCTACCCTACCCAGACAGAATGGCATTGTTAGTGATGATAGCAGTGGTAGTCCAATTGATCGGAAGGGCACCAGGTTGGTGAAGATTGTTTTAAGTATCCTGTTATGGTGGCTGTCTGCATATTTGCTCATAGTTCTGCTCACCCAAGCCTGCCTCTTCCAGAGCAAGCTCTGTTGCTCAAATCCTAAGAGGAAGTGTTTAAGGATACAAAATGACCAAACGTGAATACCAGGGCAAACAGCAATGTGAAATGAAATGAACTGCCAAATATGATGACAGATTGGCTATTGGCTAGCTTCACACAAGATATATTTTGACAGAATGCTATACTTTTCCTTCTGGTAAGTTCCTGGCTCCCACTTCCTCTATGCCTCGTGAAGGACCTTAGTGGGGATGAGCAGACAACTTGTCCTGCTACTCTGGCTTGTGAATAAGAAGCCAGGAATGTTTGGAATTCTGGAGTATCATATTGTGAGAATGCAGCCGTAAACTCTGCTCTGAGCTATGCTAACCTCCCAGAAAGGGGAACACTTTAAAATACAAACAGACAGGACACAAAACACAGGCAGCAACAATGAACACAAGACTTCCACAACCATACAAACTTTGCACAGAAACCCAGTGCAAACATATACTCACACGTGTAGATCTTTCCTGGTGCACCAATACTATATTAAGCTAGCTTTTTTCTTTTTCCCTTTTCTTTCCACCAGCTTGGACCAAAGCAAAACTTATTCCATCTCTTTAGATTGTATTTTCGCCAAATGCTTTTGCAAAAGGTGTAGCCCATTTCAAACAAGTGAGCCCTCTAGGGCCAATTTAGTTAGGTCTGACCATGCTGTTTTTAAAAAAAATACCAAGCGCTTGCTTCCGTGGCAACCCCGCAAGTGCCGCCCCCTGTAATTCACACCACCCTGCAATTTGCTGCAGAGGTAGTAAGCTCAGATCGAACTCCCTGCAAATGGGGAAGTTCGAATGAGCTCCCCCGGTGGCCATTTTAACTCGCAGCGTGCCTGAATCCGCAGGCACTCTGAATCGGGAAGCCTTTTTGGAAAAAAAATCAAAGAAGAGGCATCGCAGAGGGGTAAGCGGAAGGGATTGGCGTTGACCCATCGTCCTGATATGGGGAAAAAATCTTTACAGGGAACAAGTATAGAGGAAAGAAAAACGAGACAGGAGACACTTTTTACAAAGAACAAAACGTTGGACAGACAGACAGCCGGCAAGCGCGCGCACACACACACACAGAACAGATTCGGCCAGTTACCCGGTACTGGCAAGCAGCCAATGCCGGGACAGACAGACCTCTGTGGCCGGGGCCAACGTCTTGTGCCCACGACCGGAAAGTAGCTTGTAATGCTGCGTCCAGCCAAGCTGTTCTTTCCAACCTAGATCTGCAGATACCAGACAGAAACAGAAACAGAGACAGAGGGCGGAAAGAAAGGAAAATCCGCCGTGCGCGCTTACCAATTCTCCTCTTTCAGCCAGACGTCCCACCGAACCGGGGTAAAAAGAAAAAGGCTAAAATCGCCTAAAAAGGCCCGGCCCTGGTTCGATGGAAGCCAGACCGCTGGTCTCTGGTCTCGCCGGGGTCTAGAATCTCGCTGGGGCCTCCAAAATGTTGTACCCGCGGTGTTACAGACGAGGCCAGAGACCGGATGGTAAAGTAAAGAGGAGATTTATTCCTGCAGCAGGGACCACATTCATAGAGGAATGCGGTGCTTGAACAGAGTTGGAAGGAGATCTTTATACCTTCACAATCCGCTTTCGGCAAATGGGGAACAATACAATCAGTTTTTGACAAGAATGAGAACAATGGCGACAATGGGGAGTTACAGAATCACATAAGCAGTTGAGCAAGCGATATACAGAAGCAGATTTGGCTAGCAGTAAGTTTTATCTTTTAATTTACACCTTCTAAGCAATCTTTGCCCATTACATCTTTGGTAAGCTTTTTCCATTTTCTGAGGGAATTCTCTGAGGCAGTTACTAGACATTTGAATGGGCTAGAGCTTAGGAGAGCTAAGCCTATCATGCATACCCTGAGACAGCTGATTATTCTAGTGTTTGGCCGTGTCATGCCTATCTGGAGCCTAGAGGAGTCATGCCTATCCTGAATGCCCTGAGAAAGCTGATAGGTATCTCTATTATGTCAGGATCCTGGGGAGTCAGGTACAACACTTCACACACACACAAATTTAAAAGATCTCATTGCATCTTTTGGACAACAATTCCTGCCCTTATCCATCCCTCCCTCTTCTCCTTGCTGCTTCCTGAAGCAAGTGGCTTCACTCTGTTGTGTGACAGGGCTGACCCTGAGGAATTCAGACTTTGAAAGTTTGGCCTGTTTGTTTTTGTTTTTAACAGAATGCCCATCCTGTTATAAACACTCTTTCCCTTCCTTTAGGAAGAGAAAAATATTCCAAGCATGCAGAGAGTTCTTTTTAAAACTTTATTGCAATACAGGGATTGAAAGATGGTTTCCTTCTCATTTTCCAGCTCACCTGAGCACATGTTCACATCCCATTTTACACCCTGCCCCCTCCCCCTTTCCCCTCATTGGCTACGGTATCAGGAGTTTACAATTTTTCAGCCTTCCTGCTCCAATACTGGCCCTTATTCCCAATCCAGCCCTGACACTGGATGTGACCCTGGATGCCAAGCTTGCCAATAAACAATCAAGAAATAATTGAGTCTGTATTTGGCAGTCCTGCCTAAGTCTCTGTTTTCTCACACCTTGTGCTATCTGATCTTAGCCCCCACCCCTTGGGCTAAGTAATTTTCTTTGTTTCCGTTTAAATCTTGCTACTCCCTTGTTTCAAATCATCCTTTCATGCCTATCACACCCCATTCCCTTCTAATGCTTCCTCAAGTCTGCACCCTCAGCAAAATTCAAGATGGTGTGCATTTTGGTTAGTCCTTATAAAGCTGTTAGAACTAACCAAATTTTGCATGTTTTTTCACACTGGAAGCAGCAGCCCAGAACACCTGGAGGCTTATCTCTGCACAGGATGAACTGCCCTGAGATCTCTGACTATTGGGCAATGTAGAAATTAAATAAATAAATGAATGCAGCCGACTTTCTCCAAAACTCTAGGCGCATAGCATGAGACCTCCCTCACCGTGCCTTTTCAAGAGATTCTCCAGCTTAAAAGGCCACACGGAGCTCCTAAATTGCTACAGGAATTGCTGGTGCCAGCAACAGCAGTTCGCAATATATTCAAGGCACAACCCAGGTAAGCAATTATGCACAGGACCCGTCTGCTGCTTCGCTCGAAGTCCGCACAGCAGCGCTGTCTTGAAGCTAGTTGCGCCTGATGGGTGATTGAGCAAGCAAGCTGCTAAGGGAAGTGAATGAATGAGCAGGGCAATTCTCTTCTCATACAGATGAAAGCGCGGAGCTCCAGCTGGGCTGTGCGGCGAGCTGCACAAAGCAGCGTTTCTCTCGCGGCAGCCAATCAGGAGGCACTCCCACTCTGGGTTGCTGGGTAGTCTTAACCATTCAAAGGCTGAATAATTTGAACCAAAAAAAGCTGTAGGTTTTTGACTGGCATAAAATAGGTTCTGCTGCAGAGCTTTCTCATTCATCTGAGAGTTCTGGTGCATTTCCCCTTTGCTCTAGAGGAAAAAAAAACACAGTATCAGGATGCGGGGAAACAAGGCGAAGCTTTAGAGGAAAAGCAACTTGGAGCAGTTGTAGTTGGAAACATTATCGAAATGTGTGGTAATCTGAATGAGCGGGAGGAAAACCAAAGGGGATTTGGAACACAGCGACGGTGGGGTGGGGGAGAGGGAAGCCCTTCTTTTCCCAGAATTGCTGGAAGCTCTTTAGAAGCTGCACCGGCGTTACAGCTTCATGTGTAAGCCCTTAATACAGCGGGGGGGAAAACGGCGATGCTTTCTGCATTGCTGTATTTCCCTCTACTAGGAAAATCTTTGCCTTTTTCTGCCTCTTTAATACAACAAGACAAAGAGCCCCCATCCTTAAGATGTTGACAACTCAAGAAAGCAAATGCTGAACAAACAGCATAATTAGAGGAAGTTATTACTCTGGGATGAGCGTTTGGTAACTAGTTAAGGAGCAACAGCACCGACATAATGAAGGAAATCCCATCTGGTCTAGTAATTCCAGGGTTGCCAACTGCTGAATTGAACCCCTTTGACAACATATTGATTGGTTGCTAATAAGCTCCTGATGTTTAGATCCTTGTTGTGAATGTTTACCTGCATATATCTGTGCATCAAATCCTGGTAAAAGGTACAGAAGCATTTTTTTTCCCCTTGAGCAGCTGACCACCTTAGCCATCGCTAAGGTTACCACTCCATTCCATGCAAGGTTTCTGTGCTTTTAAAAGACAAGCAATTGGACCAATAGATGTAGCTCTTTCCAGGATGGGAGGGTAAAGAGATTAACCTGCCGCAATTCTGCTTGTCATAACTGTTATACAGCACTCAAGGGGCTTGCATTTTTAATTGTGGCTGAAACACTCCAACAATCTGAAAGGAGAAATGTAAAATTGTTAGCACTGCAGCAGAAGCCAGGCATGGGATAAATAAAAAGCAGAAATTAACCTGATTCAATTTCCTGACTGTAATAAGTGAGGGTTGCCCTGGCTTCTTCTGGTTTCCTACTTCTCTCATGATAGCAGCCAGACAGCCTTTGAAAATGGTGAAAATAACTGACTTTTCCAAGTTGCTTCTGAAAGCTTGCCATGCCTCACAAATGGGCTTTGCAGCAAATGGCTATTACAGAGATAATTGCAATGCTAGCTTGGAGTCTATGGGAATGGGGAAGTATATAAAATAAATATAAAATAACCATGTGTGCATGTACATACCATAAGGGGTAATAAAGGGTGCTAAACTCAAATTCTTTATCCTACTATATAGCCCTGAGTTAACTGTCTGAACTGTCCTGCATTGTTTTATCTAAGACTTCTCATTATACTTTGCAGGTGTAACCAGTTTATTGCTGGGAGAGTGACTACATCCATGTATCTTCTACCTGGCACAGGCTTCTCTAAAACAAGCAATAAGGAGATGCTGGGTGAAGGCATATTAGTTTACTACCCTGCCCTCCAGTTAGGGAGCCTGTGAACTTCCATTTGGCTTTCAACAGGGCTGTTATTTTCCCCAGCATGAGGATGCCGTGAATGCTAAAAACCTACCTATCCAATGTTTGTTTATCATGTTTCTATTAAAGAGAGGAAAAGGTTATGCTCATAAACAGAAGATTGTCTGCAAAGGTGCCTATGTGCTAATGAGGTCAGTAATCAATAGGCTTTCATGGCAATTGCTTATGCCTTTTAACACTATTGAAAGACTTTGTCTGTGGAATTTCCAGGTTTGGGACATCTGTTAAAAACACAAGAGCTCCACCAGAAAAAAAAATGTTGACAACCATCCCTGACTGCCAGGTGCAACCAAGTCTTTTCTTTCCTGCAACAGAGTCTCCCCTTCCATTCTCCCCAGACACATGTTAATATGAAGAATATTCTAGTATGGAAAATATGATTATTGTAGACTGGGAAACTATTGCAGAAGACATTGTAGGGAAGACCTAGACTGTGACAGCAACTTGACTTATCACTTGCTTATGTAAGATGCACTGAAAAATTCTGCTTTCCTAATTTGTCTGTAACAGTGGTAGATGGGAGAGTCTGGAGGTATGTTTCCTTTACCAGAAAAATCAAGGATTTAAAGAAATGTGACCAATTTCATTGACAATGCTGGTGAAACTACACAATTAGAGAACATTTATTAGAGAACATTTATTTAGAATCTACACAATTAGAACACTTAACAAATATATACCCCACCTTTCCTAGCAGTTTGAAGGCACTAACAAAAAATACATATATGCAAAAGGTGGGTTAAACTTAACAATGATATTAATGTTAGACTATTTAAAGTATTCTGCCAGGCTGTTCTACTTTCCCCTGTTCAAAGATCTATACTAGAATAAATTCAAAAAGTTTCCTGATGCATTTCTCCATTACACATTAGCTTGTACTTTACCAACTATACAATGTTGCCTAATCCATAAACCAGTTAAACCGGAGTACTTTTATTGGAGCCCAACCAACTTCCAAGAGAATGAAGTCAGACAATGCAAATATGTGACATATAAAAGACATTGTGCCATTTTATCACTCCCAGTGTCATGTTAGAAACTCTACAGAGTATGGAAGAGTTGCTCCTTGATTTGCCTACATTCATAATGCATTTGACTGCTTGATCAGTCAGTATATAGTCTGCATCAGGGGTTTTGTACTTCTTCCAGTTTAAGGGCCAAATTCAAATTTGGAGAAGTTCCTGAGGTTGAGATTGCATCCCAGTGGTGGATGGGGCCAAAGAGATAGAGCTAAAATACTAAAAAAAATCAGCCTTTTTTAGTTTCAAGCTGTTATTGTCAGCAGCTAGGCCTTAGGAGAGCCATTTCAGTCTTTTAAAATGGGGAAAAGCTGTGTAAAAGCCAAGTGATAGCTGTCATATGAAAGGAGTGTTGCCATTGGCATAATCTTGGAGGGTCAGATTTGGCCTGGGAACCCAACGTTCAGCAACCTCTGGTCTACATCAATACCATAGCTTGTTGTCTGCATGATTCTGGCTTGTTTGGGAAGAGGCAAGTCAGAGCTCCAAGTTTGGACAAAGCATCCATGATTCATTTAGCCACTCCTCCTTAGAAACTATCAAGTTGGAGTGATCAGACTCTGTGCTCAAACACTCAGCTGACTAACAATAATAGTTAACAATAGCAGGATTCTCTGAAAGCCTGCTTATTTTTGCATCTGAACAAGGCCAGTATGATACAACAGCAGTTAACTCCCCAGCACAGTACAGCTGTATGACATGACAATGCAGAACTTAAAACCCTTCAGTAAAAACCACCAAGAGCCTGCCGGAATAAAAGTGTTCCCACTGCTAGAAGGCAACAAGGGATGCCTTCTCTTGGTGCTTTGAAAGAACAAGCCCAGTCCACTCACAGTAACCCAGGCAGGGAAAGATGGAGCAGGCTTTCCAAAATCAGTCTCAGTGTATGAGCACTTTCATATGGCAGGAAATGGTTCTGCTACTTAGATAACACATAGTATCCTGCTCAGACAACACACAGAGCAAGGGTGTTGAACCTCTGGACAGTGTGCAACATCTGGCCCTCCAGGATTCATCCGATGACCCTAATGTGGTTTCCTTGCTTTTGCACAGTTTTCTTACATTCAAAGAGGCGGAGGAACATTCACGGATCCTCAAACTACAGCCCGCAGGTCACATCCAGCCTGCCATGCCCATTTATCTGGTGCGCCTCAGAGGATTTGGACTCCCCGCGCTTGCTGCCGTTGCTACCTCACTGTGCACGGTGCGGCAGCAGCAGCTTGCTCACTCAGAGATTGTTTTGGACTCGTTCGAGGATCTCCGAGTGAGCAAGCCACTGCCTCCCCACATGCTGGCCCACGCTCACTGATGCTGCCTTTCAACTGGCCCCCTGTTCTAAATGGTTGAGATCCCCCCCCCCCCGCCCCCATTGCATAGTCATCGACTGTAAGAGCTTTAAGCAAAATTATTGCTGGCATGGGAGGGAGTGCTACCCGACAGAGATCCCCAGAACTCTGACATGAATTTGTCCCTCAGGGCAAAAGAGGTTCAGCACCCTAACACAGAACTTTGTGACCAAAGCAAGCACTCTGAATTGGTGCCCAGCTTTGCATGCCTGGTGGCAACAGGCCTACTTTAAACATCAGGCCAGCGCCTCCATGGGACACCATGTGAGCAACTTTTACTTCTGTGCCAACCATCAGTCAAGCCCAAGTGACAAAATAATAACAACTTTTATATATAGCTGCACGTATTTACAAAATGTGTTTTCAAACCATCTTTTCTAAGGGCTGTTCAAAGAAGAAACACTTAACACCTAGCTTTAGCAATCTCCAGCCCAGCTGGAAGATATTGGAGATCTGCTGTAAAGTGAAAATTAGGTGTAGTTAGGTAACAGACTTTGTTCAGTAAAACCTCAGTGTCCAGTTTCAATGTCCAAGATGTACACTTAGCAAGCTCAGAAGGTGTGCATATATGAGTAGTGCTGACCATTAACCATAGTGCACACTTAGTCCACAAGCTAAGGATTGTGATTATGAATTTGATCTTAATCTCTCACACAGAAATTTAGCAGGTGAAGCTTTTCCTGATGTGGAAAGAAATGATGGGAAAAGCTGCTGCTCATAGATTCCCAAGAGTCCAGCTGCTACTATGAGTCTCAGTCAAAGCAATGGTGCTGGTCAAAAAATTGGCAACCATAGCTTTATTCAAGTCCTGGCTCTTTCCTGGTAGTTTTCCCTATTTCAGCATTCCTCCAATATGTTTTGCTACAGTTCCCATCATCTGAGACCACTGGCTGTGCTAAATCGGGCTGATGGAGGTTTTAGTTCAAAACATCAGGAGGGTGCCAGGTTGGGGAAGTTTGCTGCATTCACTAGTTTTCCAATGGAAGCACAGAGATTTCTCTGAGCATGGAAACCATCCATCCTGTACCTCACCTTTGGATAAAAAGTTCATCTAAAGAACCATTTCTAAGGTTACCTTCCTTAGCTACCTTCTCAGCTTTCATTTTTCTCAGGCACATTGGTCTCAAGAGTCCAGCAGATAAAATATGAGTGGAATATATGCTAGGTATACCCAGAATATACAAGTGTGGGTTTATTTGTTTGTATAATGGTAACTTGTCCCTTCCCACAAATATTGACAAGTCTTGTAAACCAACTGGATATGGAAGGCTATGGCTCTACATTAGAACACACATTTTGCATGCAAAAGGCCTCAGGTTCAAACCATATCGTCTCCAGTTAGGACTAGAAAGACACCTGTCTGAAACCTTAAAATAGGGGTGGGGATACTGTGGTCTTCCAGAAGACTCCAGAGACCAGTGGCTGGGGAAGAGGAGAGTTGATGCCCCACAGCAACTGGAAGACCCTAGGATCCTCACCTCTGGTCTGGAGACCTGCTTCCATTCAGTCTTGTTCAGGGCAAGGAACCTGTGGCTCTGCGGATGTTGTTGATTACATTTCCCACCATGCCTGATCATTGGCCATGTCAGCTGGGAGTGGAGCCAGCATCCAGAGGACCAGAGCTTCCCAACCCCTGGTTTAAGTTGATACTGAGTTAAGTGAGCCAAGTGACTGTATAAAGCCGCTTCCATAATGTGGGAGCACAGCCTTAGTGCAAAGGATGTTGGATACCAATACTGGTTTTAAGTTTTAGATGTGTTATGATTGTGGTAGTAATAAGAACAACACGTATTTAAATTGTCAGGATTCTCTTGCTCTTTTTGATGCTGTATTCCTATACTCACTTATCTGGGAGTATGCCCTATTGGACTCAATGAGGCTTACTTCTGAATAGACCTGTGCAAGCCATCAGCACTGTTCCTCTATCACAACAGGGTGCTTTCCAGATATGTTGGACTTTAACTCCAATCAGTCCCAGCCAGCATGGCCAATGCTGGAAGTTGAAGCCTATAACTTCTTGAGGGCACCATAGAAGGCAAACCTTATCCCTATATTCAGCATTGCAACAATTTTAGGGGATAGGGTTGCCTTTTTAAGCCTGATGCCCTCCAGATTATGTTCTGGCCCAGCTCTAGTCATTCCTGGCTGGTAGGAATCCTGGGATTTGTGCCCTGCAGAGCTTTTGGACTACTCGCTAGGAATGGCAACCTTAGAGAGTGAACAAAGAATTCATTTTTCATTGCCTTGATCAGTGCAGGGGCCTATGCTCCAGTTATGAGTTAGGTTACTTAATCATTGTTCTTCTTGCTGAGGACTTAGTGAAATGCACTTCTGAAAGTTCATAATGCAAACATTGGTTGATAAGGCCAAAAGTATCACCAGCTACTGGACTGCAATGGTTTACTAAATTATTGACACAGGCTGTGTTCATTTGATCTTTGAGTAAATATTTGACATCTTACCTGCTAAGGGCCAAATCGAGATCTAAAGGAAGCCATCTGTTGCAGCAATATGTGAACCTAAATGTCTTTCAGCAAAACCCACCAACCAACACACATGCCGAGTCAGTCTTGCCTTCACCAAATGGATGGGTCAGACTACAACACTCATTGTCTATGCTGTCTGAGAGTGATGGGAATTGTGACCCATCAGGAAAGCACCAGCATAAGGAACACTGCTTTACAAAATTTGTGAATATTTTCTACTGTACCTGAAGCCACATTGCTTAAAAATAAACATGTTCAAGCCCATTTATTTATTTATTTATTTATTTATTTATTTATTTATAACTTTTATATGCCGTCACCACATGCCTCAGCATCTTGGGATGGCTTACAACGTAGAATTAAAACAATAAAACAGTAACAAGTACAGTAAAATTATATAAAAACAAAAAAGTGACCGTTAGTGATAAAATAAATTTTTAAAATAGCCATTAAATAAAAAGGTTTTATAGCATGGAAGATCAGTTTTAAAAAGGCATATTTGGCATATTTGCTCAATTTCGCTACAATCCTGTACACATTTAGCCAGGACTACATCCCACTGAACTAGTAAGACTTGCTTTTGAGTAGACTTGCTCAGGACTGGACTGTCCAACATCACATGAAAGCATGCTTAAAAGTTAATTATGCAATATTTGGTGTGATATCTGATATCTGTGCTTTGTAATCCAGTTTCTGCCAACCATGGTTTGATGTAGTCATTTCAGTTGATAAATCAGAATTATGACGATTGCTTTTTAGCCAAAGGCTGTTGTGTTGTGGAGACAGAAGTTTATGAACGTATGAAGTGCTGAGAAGATGGAAAACAAAACAGGTAAAGCATCTCCAAAGCATGGTTTCCTTGCTTTTTCTTTTTCTTATGTTGAAGCTGAAACCATGATTAGTACAAACCAGGGTTTGCCTTGTGGTAGAAAATGCATCACTAGGAATGCTCTCCGGTGTGTTTGCTCATAACCTTCTGAACTTGAAGGATTTCAGGCATCTAATGCAGGATGGAAAGAGTGTGGAGGTAAGGACTGCCTCCACTCTCCAAAACACAGATGGCGTCTTTCAGCTATCCGAGTGTTTTGTGCCTTATGATGAGGAGAGGCTGAGGCACTGCTGGGATACATCATATGCTGCTGAAGCTCTCTCCTTTGTTCCCTGCCTCCAAGAGCATCTCCCTCGCCCAGCTCTGAGGTTGGTCTTTCTTCCCTGGAGCTGTAGCCAGCAGGGAAGAACTGAGCCATCTGCTAAGGTGGAAGGAGGGCACTCTGAGGTCAGAGCTGGAATGCCAATCTTTCATACAACTGTCTGGACAGCATCTAGTGGTGATAGGACTGTGCCCTGAATGGTTTCCTCTTATTGTCAAGAAAAGCCATGGAAACGTCACCCTAAAGAGCATGTGCTCTGCTGCCTTGGGATATAAATTGGATGGAAAGTTTGTCTTTTAACTTATTTGGTTCAGAGAGAAGGAAGCAATTGACCCTGTGCATCCCAGCATACCCTCTGTGGTGACTGCTGGGAGAATCTTGAGCCCTGGGTCAATGTTCTACTTTTGATTTATATATTTAATCAGGCTTGACATTCAAGAACATGAGACATTGTGTTCTGTTGAGCAAGTTCCTATAGATATAAGGATATGTGGTAAACTTTACAATTGTGTAAGATAATTTATAGCAATAGAAGAGGGATTATATGTTAATGCATAAAGGGAAGATGAAGGCTGAACTTT